AAAAAAAAAAGACTATGTTTCCAAGGTGACTTCTGAATCATGAGGTAGGCCCAACCCGGGCAATCTAAAGGAAACGCCCTCTTCCTCCCCTAAGCCTCCAGGTTCAAGGCTTTTTTGTCTATTTCCCATGGTAGTGGGGTCCTGTTGCTATCTATGTCAAACATATCTTGCTTTGTACATCTATATTTTATTCTGCAAATGTGTCTCTTCTTCAATAAACTATGTTTCACACTTGCCTTACTTTGGGGTGTCTGGTTATTTTTCCACCAAGAGTACTCCCAAAACGGCTAACACAGTCAGCTGCCTGAAATCCCGACATTTTAGGACGCAGGCAGCTGCCCTGAAACTCAACAAGGCAAAGCATGGTAGCTCAAGTCCGTAAACTCAGGACTTTGGGAGGCTAAGGCAAAAAGGATCACTTGAGGCCAAGAGTTTTAGACCAGCCTGAGTGACAGCAAGACCCCGTCTTCACAAAAAAACAGAAAAATTAGCAAGGCATGTTGGCATGCACCCATAGTACCAGCTATTTAGGAATCCTAAGTGGGAAGATCTTGAGCTCAGGAGTTTGAGGTTGCAGTAAGCTATGCTCATGTCACTTTACTCCATCCTGGGTCACAAAGTGAGGACCCTGTCTCAAAAAAAAGTGTTGCTTATCAAGATCCATTCAGCATTTACCTTTTAAGATTAATGAGAAGAGACACTAAGAAAAGGGCTACAATAGGTGTGACAGGAAAACCTGACCTGCTGAAACAGGAAGTCTGGAGGGCCCAGAAGAATATGCATATGAAGTAACCTAGGTAACCAATGACCAGTAGAAAGAGACAATCAATGACCAATAGAAAGAGGCAACACTGCCTGGAGGCGTAGAGATGCCAATGAAAGACTTAGAGCCAGTTTCAAATGGAGAAAGTATTTACAGCCCTGCAGGGGTTTGCCTCCTTCTCTTGACTTTTCTCCTGCAGGAGAGGGACCCACTTCCAGCTCTCTTTGGAAGTGCTCTAAACTTTCTCTTTGTTCTTCCCAACTAAAGTCTCTGTTACCCCTTTGTATAGGTTACTTTTGCTTCCTATCCACACTGCCTATGCTGCTCCAGTTTGATTTCAGTTTCCACTCACTTTTGCTTTTGTCTACCACTCTGCCTTGGATGAACTTTCTAGCTGAGCTCAGTAATTGGACCAGGCCAACTGGGTTTGGGGAATCAGGACCCCTGACCCCCAACAGTTAGTATACTTAACGTTTTAACTTTATTTATTTATTTATTTGAGACAGAGCCTCAAGCTGTCCCCCTGGGTAGAGTGCCATGGCTTCACTGCTCACAGCAACCTCCAACTCCTGGGCTCAAGCGAGTCTTCTGCCT